TCCTTAGACCATATTTCTCCCAATTCATCAGTTGAGGTTTGTCTCCTTGAATTAAGAACAGCTTCCTCTCTGCTACCTGGACATCACTCAGACAATCCAATTTATCTGTCAATTATACAAAATATATACAGTGAGTACACACACAATTGTATACACTCAGTCAGTCACACAATACCGTACAGCAGGAAATATTTGCGGGGAATTAAATTTTGCGAGTTTGCGATTCCATTTAAAGCGCAAAATTTAAATCCGCAAAATAATGAAATTCATGCATGACCACAGTAGATAATGCTACAATAACTGTCAAAACCGCAAATATTTAATCCGCAAACCAGGTTATTTTTAAGGATTCGCAAAATTTTTCTCCGCAAAATTAACCAGCTGTACGGTAATACTCTTACCCATTGAAGGGATCAGGTAATTAAATTGTAGTCCAATGGAACTAGTCTCTTTGATGGATTGTTCCTCTAAGGATGTGACTCTCTCCTGTAGTTGTGACTTCTCCTTCATTAGTTTGGTTGTATACAATTCATTATCAGACACTTTAACTCTAAGGTCTATAAATTAATAGAATGTTAATAATTATTATTGATTGATGTAGTCTCGTCACGCCCCTTCGCTACCTGCGGAGGAAGGGTCTGGGGACACTGCTATCTAAAATGTGTGCTTCATGCCAGAGAATCTGGCGTCCCAATCAGATTACTCGACTCACGTGTAGGACAAGCAGTCATATTACCGAAGAGCTCTGTTTATGACAAAAGAGGAAGAACGAGGACAAAATAAAGAAAGGAGGGAGCCTGTAATGCACCCTGGACTTCTTTCTCAAGGTTTAAGAGCAGCATTACTGTGCTGCTTACTACAACGACGCCATTGCACTTATGACGTAATAATGCTGTCACGTGTTTATAATAAAACGTCATTGATAATAAGTAAATACTATGGCGCTCTGTGAAGAGTTGCTGCCCTCAAATTTGCAAGAGATGTCTAAGATACTCTATCCTCATCTTTCCTTAGCTGCAAAGCATCTATTCCAGCTATCTTGACTGATCTGGTCTCCTCTATCACATGACGTAGAGCCAACCACGTGTTCTTTTTTGCACAAGTTTTAGATAGCAGTGTCCCCAGACCCTTCCTCCACAGGTAGCAAAGGGGCGTGGCGAAACTATGATTCATGATGATACACTAACCAGTAATGATCTGTTTCTCATTCTGTGATTGTTCCTCTACTTGTGATGTCAGTTTGGCTATAACTTTGTCTTTCTCAGAAATGAGACTTTGATTGTCGTCTACACAATAAACATATTCTCTCATCTAATACATGCTGTGTGTATAGTTAACTAACCAATAATGATCTGTTTCTCCTTGAGATATTCTTCCTCCACATCAGCAACTTTGAGTTTAAGTTTCTCATAATCTTCTACATTAATAGAATATTCTCTCATCTAATATTACGTACTGATGATACACTAACCAGTAATAATCTGTTTCTCTTCAATCAACTTTTCCTGTTCTAGTGTCATTTCTTCTAATACACTGCTTATAAAGTCATTACTATCATCACCTTTAACTGAATAATAATATAAAAGAAGAGAGTAATCAGTATATGCATA